ACCACCAGCATCATCGTCAAACAAAGGCATTGGAAAGCCCAACCCCCACAGTGTACTGCGATCCACACTGCTGAGGTTTTGCAACACCCCTGGAGTATAGCCCACAATCACCAAGCGGTTCCCAGCAGAAGGTAAAACAGCATGCCGCCGATGTGGATTGAGATGAAAAACACTTCCCTCTTGTAACGGGTAAATGCAACCGTACCTCACCTGACCATCTTGCGCTTTCAACTCCACAACTCGACCTTGCACAATATCTCCACTGCGAAGTTCCTGCCAAACTTCTCCACCGCGCCTCGGCATAGATAAAGGCAGCAAATAGTTTAGCGTGCCCATTGCATTGTTCCTGTCTATATGGATCTCCCGCTCATTGTTGACGGAAACATAGACAGAAGCAAATTCGGCGTCTGGTGCACTTTCCTGGAGTAACCTCAGAAGAATCTTTGCAAACCAAGGACGCTCCAGCGTAGCCCTTGTTACACCAGCTTTGCCCCCATGTCGAAACATACCGTAAACATTCTCTTTCGGAGGTAACTGGTAACAGATTTCCTTCACAAGTTGCTCCGCCTCCTCCTGGGACCAGACTTCTAATAGCTGTTCTGCCCTCGCCTTGTATGCCTCATCGTCGAAGATCGTCGCTTTGGATACGGCCACCACGTCTCCAGATCCCGCTGATTTTCCCCGAACCCTCCTTTCTGGACCACCCGGTTCTTCTGCCTCAAGTCCTTCCTGAATTGGTCCGGGGTCGTGTAATCCCGAACGAACATGTAGGGTATGAATAAACCTTTCCCCTTCATCGTCCTTGACGTAGACCAAATGTCCTTTGCTTAACGTCTCCGATCTTCCAACGTAGGCACCCTGTACCCATTTCGGAATAAGGTCATCTTGCTTGGGGCCTTCCAGTTGACGCTTACGGACCATCACTGCGCCATACGGGGCCGCGAGAACAGGCTCAAAGCCCAGAACATCTGCTCTCTGTATAGTAGCTGCCGCTGAAACTGCTGTTGGCCATAGATGTTGAGGTAATCCTGCAGCTAATAACAGTGTCCTGGCTCGTTGCTTTGCCCATCTAACCGTAGACTCTGCAGCGCCATTAGTCTGATGCACACCAGCCTCCGAGGTCGTCACACGGATCCCTTGTCCCTTCAGCCACTGCTTGGTGGCCCTGGCTTGAAACTCCATTCCCCTGTCAGAGTGGAAGCGAAGTACTGGGATGTTCATCGCCTGGCAATACAAAACCACATCTTGGATTGCTTCCAGAACTGTCGCCGCTTTGTCATCCCGTATACCATTGGCGAATATCAAATTGACTAGTGGTGGAGCCGCCAAATCAATATCTTCTTCAGGGCCCAGCTTCTTAGGTGCCTCCTCCTCAGAACCACCTTCGACTGGCTCCTCCTCTTGACTAGGCCGAATAGACTCCTTGTTGTCCTCCTCCTCGGCTAGTCCATCATCTTCATCCTTGTACTCATCCTCAGCGACATCGCCACCATCATAATCCACCCATGTTCCTCGTCCATCCTCCACAAACGATTGAGGTACTCGAAGCTTGGCCACAAACAGGTATTTAAAGGTTTTTGGGTGACCACCTCGAGCATCTGGATCAGTGCCGCCAACTTTGACCGGGCCAGATAAGTCCGCAGACAGTACGAAAGCGGCGGGATGCTCTAATCGAGCGTGTCGGCGGCCGGTGCCGCCTGCTTGTACGCAGACTGCGCAGCCTGCCCGGTAAGGCAAGTGGCCTCGCCTTACGTGGTCCCTCCATTGCTCTGCGCTCATCTTGACCATCCTTGGAATCACACCCCAGTCACGAAGCGCAAGCACCACTTGATTATTGAACTCTGTTGGCCATATACAAGAAGGGGCCTTGTCCGGAGCACGATCATCGAACCGCCACCTTGCTCGCAAACCATCCAGATGTTTGAGACATAAATTTGTCCCACACGTAGTCATCCTTGAATATGCTTTTCCCATAGCCGCAAAATCGAAGCTGTAGGTATGAAGACCAGCCTCCAATGCATACTCCGTCCACAACGAGGTACGCCATAGGCTAACCACACCTGGATACAACGGGTCGTCAAACGTCAAGTAAGCCCTGGGATCACGAGGATGTTCTAGAAGGAAACCGACCTCACGATGTCTTGTAGGGTCTGTAATCCCAGCCACTCTGCCTGCCGTTGCCAGCGCATGAAGGTAAATCATCCTTGCAATCAGTTGGGTTTCGCGGTTCACATCATAAACATCACCATCCGATTGCCCAGTTCAATTGCCATAGGGAAACTCATTGGTCCTCAACGGTCTTGGTCCTCCGATATTGTATCTTGAGATCATAAACGACCCTTGCGGAGGTCCACCAATAACTGCTGAGATCATACCCTTCCGCGCCGCATACTCAAGCACCCTCCACGTAGTAGTCCGCAGGATATCTTGTGTACGACCCTTGGAAATATCCAGCTCCAAAACAACGTAGCCATGGTTCTCTAAATAGTTGAACTCCTTCTTTTCCTTTTCCCCAGAGAAAAGGTGCACAACCCATTTGTCTGAGCTCCAAAGCTTCTTCCGCGTCCTCCTGTTCAGGCGTTGCAAGCCCTTCAAGATTTCCCAGCCGTTCTGTTCCGGGACTGCCTCTACAAGGCCTGACGTACACTCTTGTGGTAGATCACGAAAGAAAGGAGCCTCGCTGATAGCCTTCAAGGCTTGAGTTGCAATGCCGCCTCTGACATAGTCCTGCAAATAGTCGAACCAATTGCGATCCATCATCAACGCAGCGGCCTTCACCCTTCGCTTAGTGGATGTGGTGTGGCTCTTGAGCATCTCCAGGTTGTTGTCCTCCAACTTGGCAATCAATCGAAGTGCCTCTGCTTCTGTAATCTCTGGGCACCCTTCACGAACTCTCAAGTTGATGACTTCCCCGGCCCGGCCTTCCAACCTACACCTTGTTCCACTCCACGTCATCGTATATCCCAACTGCTGTACCAACGCTCCCAGAGGAACAATTGGCAACGTAGCTGCATTGTCGCCATCGGTCTGTGGAACCAGGATAGTTCCGGCTCTGTTGATCCTCAACGCCACAGACTCTCCACCAGCCAGATTCACCACCACCGGCGTGGCATTGTCCCATTCTCCAAGCGACCGTGCCCTTCTCAAAGCATGGGTTGCCCCCGAATCCACCAAAGCAAACGTTCTCATCTCACCCAGCATTGTCTGCTGGGTCTGTAGCGAAACCACCCTCATAGACGGTTGGGAGGCGGCCTTTGCTGCAGTCACAGTGGCAGCAGCCTGCAAAAGGGATTCCAAGGTCCACACTGGCTCCCCACTTATCACACCCTCATTCGCGGCAGACGCAGGAGAAGCTTCGCCCTCTGGCTCAGCCTTCTGGATCCTCGGAGTCTGGGAGGTGGTAGTAGATGATGTTCCTCCTTGGCCATTCGCCGCTGCTGTCCCCTTTCCTGCAGGCTTTGTTGGGCATTCTTTCTGGCGGTGATCCTCAGCTCCACAGCACCAGCATTTTTTGTTCTTGTCTTGCTTCGAGAGTGAGTTGAGGTCGTGCCCGTAAGGGCACTTCTGGCCGCGTCGGCACCCCGACGCCTTGTAAAAATATCTGCACGGCTGCTTGGTACCCGACGAAGTCGTTGGGGAAGAACCTGTTGACTTGTCTGGTTGCCCTGTCACACCCATAGCCTTTATCTTTGGTAGCAAGGCTGGTGGTGCCCGAGACACGGCAACCTGCTCCAACTCGGCTTGTAGATGTTGGTGGTAGCGTCTCACATCTTCCAGCGAAGGTTGCCCATCGATCCTCAAAGTGGATCGCAGCAGTTGAGTACGAAACTGGGCATCACCACTTTCCCCAATATACTTCCCAGACACAGCAGTTAGGGCTGTAGCAAGAACTGTACCATCCGGGCACTGCATCTTTAAGTCCTGGCATCGTTGAATCCAGCGCGGCCATGAACGAAGCCATGCCAAGGCCTCGTCGACATTCTCACACGCCGTTGGAGACTGCAGGTTTCCAAGCACCAGTGTCTTCTCAGATGCGCCGCCTGGCTGATAGGCGATAGGCGGTATGGAGGCGAAATAGAATAGCCACCGTGTTCTGGACCGCCCTCCTCGCTATTAAATCCTGCTTAACCCCGTCCGCCAGACTCTGCAAAAGCATCGCACAAGCCCTTGCATTGACTCTCGTCCACCTGCCTTCTGCTAAAACGGCTTGACCAGCAGGTTGTATCTGTAGACGCTCCAGCGGTGTCGATCCCAGCCATTGCGAATATGCACTTTGTACTGCATCTAACACTTTATTCCACCACATACCAGAAGACGGTGATAGATCCTGCATCGATATTCCAATCTGAGCAAGCCAGTCTTGTAGAATAATCCCTGTAGATATTCCTTCGGGAGGTGGTAGGGGAGGCAAAGTCTGGTTGTTCGTTTTAACTGCTTCAGGGGACTCATCATCCAACCCCTTTTGTAACGACTTTGCTTGTATCTCTTGTAATTGCGTCATACTGCGGGCTAATACATCCAACATGGTTGCTGTAGAGTCCGGAACATTGGATACACCCACAGGATCAGGTCGACTCCCTTCTCTCTGCACTGTAACCTCAGGTATTGCTGCAGTAGGACTCGCCCTTCTCCCATTCCACTCATCCCACAATACACCCAAAGGATCTCTCCAGGAATCCGCTCGTTGCTGCGTTGCCCTTTCGGAATCAACATTGGCCTCCGTAGCTGCTCGAATCTCCCGCTCCGCGGTGGCCTTTGCAAGTTGCTCCTGCAGTTTGGCATTCTCAACCTCCATGTATTGCAACCGATCAATCAGTCCTCCAAGTTGTCGCTGTACCTCCGCCTGTATCGCCTCTGTAGGTAGCTCGCTGCTGCTGGGGGTAGAGGTATTAGGCATATTATTAGAACCCCTATACCCAGACCCTGCATTCCTTGTGTCGCCAGGTCCTCCTCCCAGCACAGCAGGCGCCGGAGCCTCAGTATATCCAGCAGCTTGGTTATTAAGCGGTCTTCTTGGCACAGGTGGCGATGGCATAGGACTTGGCATCCAGTTCACAGCTGGAGCTTTGAAAAACTCTCCAATCTTTGCTACCCACCCCGGTAGCCCAGTCTGTTGCACTGGCCTCATGGCCTCAGGGAATAACGAAGTTCTCGTCGATCTCGAGCACGGCGTCTGAAAAACTGATTGTGTCGCCGCTTCGTCTCCCATTCCAGATGTCATATTCCCAGGCCTTTCTCCACTGTGTCCAGCAAGTCCGTCTCCACCTGCATCGCCTTGGGCAATGATTTCGGCGCGGGACCTTGACCCCTGAAACAACAGTGGATCTGCTCCAGGATCCATCTGAACATCTTGCACTGTTTCTTGTCCAGCGGAGGTCATAGCGGATGGTTGCGCCTCTGCTCCACCAGGAACATCGCCTCCATTCCCTTCGCCTCCTCCACCAGGTATCCCTTCATGCGACCGTTCAGATCTGGGATTCACTCCCAGACCTGAGCAAGTCGCTCCGGTTTCCTCCGCCCTCTGTTGAGCTGGAGGATCTTGATCTGCACCATTCATTTGCGGAGCCGGTGCGCCACAGGCTGAGCTTGGGCTCATAACCTGAAGAGGACTACCAGCCTCTTACCAGCAGCAATCAAACAGACCGCAAGCCATGGGCTGACATCCTACACTGCTTTTTTCACAACAAAACGTCCAAGCTTTGCCCTCCGAACATGCCTTTGCATTCGCTGAGGTTGCAACAAGCGTTTGAGAGTAGGTCGAAGACAACGTGTCCCCGATTTCTCTAGGCACTTACAGGCCTACACAACATAGCTCAAGGTTTCACCGCCGCAGCCTTACCTTGAGGCAAAAACATGCATAAGCGAGCATTCCAGCAAACTGCACAAGCCAGAACCTGCTCTTCTTCATTTAGACTTGAAGATCTCTCCGATCCAAGGGCTGGAGCGTGCACGTCCCCAACGCACGAAACCCTGACCCCGAAACTCGAAAGCCCCCAACCCTAAACCCTAAACCCTACAAAAGCCTGAACTCTACACACCCTGACAGCGGCTCTCCTGTCCAAGAGGGGGTTCATGTGGCCCGTTACGATGCAGTAGTTGGTCTCGTACGGGGCCTTGTGGTGGCGAAGGTGGGCCTTCCGGTGCACCAGAATTCCAACCTGCAGGCATTTAGGGCTTTGGGGCTTTAAGTTTAGGGCTAGGGCTGTATTACTTTAAGGTGTATTTTGCCAAGCCCCCAATCTGCCCTGAGCTCCAGTGGTTGATGTTCACTCCTGCTCTTGTTCGCCTCTCTTGACGGTCTTGTCGCTGTTATCGGCAATGCTCCTGTTCCGGGCCTGTGTCTTTGCCGCACATTGCGTCCTCTCGAATGTTTGGTCGTGAGACCTTATGGGCCCTTGCAGCCGCTTGCAGGCCCGCAGGCCAAAGAGTAACAGTGACTAGAGCTCACGCCGAATTGGAGGGGGGCGTGGTTTGCACCTTCTTCCATGCGAAATGGGTTGCAGAAGGCCCCCGTCTTCAGGCCCGAAATACAGAAGCAAAGCAATGAAAGAGAAAAGCTCTGCCGAAGAAGGCCCAGGAGCGTCTTGAAGCCAGTTTACAAAGGGGTGGCATTGCGAGCGGAGCGTGTGGCTCCACTTGTGAAACCTCCGGAACACAGCATCGCTGCCAAGATCTGCAGAACTGGGGATGTGATGGGGCAATACCGGCTCGGAGCATCGCTTCTGACCTTATAACCCCTGAACCTGAAACCCTAAACCCTAGCATGGAGCCCTAAAGGACCGAAGCTCTCAACCGCAGACCCCGCGCCCCACCGTCAACACCCGAGGAGCCGGCTCCTGGCAGAAGGCAATGCCTGCACAAGCAACGACTGCCTCGGCTTCGGGCCCATCTTCGGCTCACAGGGCTTTCGGGATTTCGGGCTGTTTAAGGTCCCAGAGATCTCGTAAAGCCCGTTATGGTAATCCTCAGGGTACCGTTTCTGTCAAGCCTAACCCCGTACCCCGGTCGGTCTACTAGAGTGTTGACGGGTGAGGGGTAGGCCCTGCGAACCCGCAACTGCCGCTTTCAAGCCCGGATCTCCCTCGTCCCGCGTTTCTGGGACCCAAGCTTTGTCAGTTGGATATAATTTTATAATATATCATATATATATATATATGATACAATATATATAATATTTCTTATATAATATAATGGTTTTGGGCCTTCAGGTTTCGGGTTTTGAGGTTCCGGGCTTCAGTTTCAGGGGCCGCGGTCAAGCAGGCTTCAGAAAGTGGCGTCCCGGTCACTAGGCCTAGGCAAAGGAGAGCGAAACCACTTACAGATGTCTCCAGCTTCCCATGCACAATAAGCTCTCACAACTACACCGGAGTCTGAAGCCCAAACCTAACTCGAAATTTGAGCCGAACCGAGACCGAAACTGCAGGCTTCAACCTGGGTGCCCAAAGGAGGATGTACGGCTGACTGCAGAACACCTCGAAGGCGATGAGAAAGGGCATTGTCGCTAGACCTCTGGCTGTTTCGGTTCATGAGCTCCGGTTTAGGGTTTAGGGTTGATTCTGAACTTCGTGTACAGGCTTGGGGAGGGTACAATGATGTGCACTGCAGCGCCAGCGAGGGAGCCCCGAAGCTCGCACACCACGCGGTAACACTTGTAGAACCCCTGAACTTCGGCGCAGGAGCAGGTTGGGAAGCAGTTGTTGCCTCGGCGACGGGTTATCGTGAAGGTCGAGACTTTGTGGGCTTGAGGGCTTATGGTTACTATACAGCTTTGTGAGGTTTAGGGTCACTAGAAGGCCTCGGCGGAAAGACGGCCATAGTGCCTAAAGTTTAGTGTGCTGTTGGTTATCTTCGGGGAGTTCCAAGGTCACCGCACGCGTGACCCGAAAGGCAAGCTTACCCGGAAGAGCCGACCCCTCGACGCCCTCCTCGATCTGAGGCCCAAACCCAGCATTGTTCCTATGACCTTCCTGTCGGTAGTTCTTGGGGTTGTCATCGACACGGTACGAGTAGTTCCAGGCTCGAAGATCTGAGTCCAGGGATTCACGGTGAGTCGATTCGAAAAAGACTCAAGCCCGGCCTCACAGATTTCACCGAGCCCCATGCACCATACTGACGCCTTCCTACCTCAATACTGACGCCTTCGGCACTTCTCCATAAAGCATCCTAAACCTAATTTCAAACATCAAAAACCGAGAAGCCAGAATCCCAGAACCCGAATTCTCAACTGCGCAAAACCCCAAGACTGCAAAGATTTTTTTTGCTACCCCAAGTACGTTAAACCCCGAAACCCCCTACCCTGAACCCGAAACGCGGCTACCCTAAAGCCCAAGGACCTCAAGGACCTTGACTGAAACCTTAATGACTGTACTGGACCGTACTCCTTGGAGTCCCCAACGATCCTCATATAGGAGCCGTAACTGTTAGAGCGCGGTTTTCATGTCTATGAAACTATCAGTTTCCCTGTTGTCGAGACCTCAGTACTACTGACTAGTCGTACAGATTCGCGCGGCCCAACAGAGATGCCAGGTCCAGGCCCCCGGGCAGAAGTCTCGGTAGGTGATCGTCCAGGGCTCCTCGTGGTGGCCTTGCTCGGCTCTTTGGGGGCGGTGGAATGAAGGGTACTGTGCTGAGGGATGGATGCTTCGTGTAAGGATCCTAGTACTTCGGGTCGATAGGTGGGTCCCCTGTGTATTGAGGGCTTTGGGCCCCTGAGACTCTTAGGGCTTTGTAGGGTTTGGAGCTTTCGTCTGCATCAGCGGCTAAGGGCTTTGGGGATCTGGGGACGTTGGGGGCCGCAGGCTTAGGAAGCTTACGGCTCCAGGGCTTTCGGGCTATTTTGCCGGGCTCTGCTGCAACAAGGCCAACTGGAACGACCACTGTTTATTGGGGGGTCTGTTCCAGACCATCGTCCCCTATTCCAAACCCTGAACCTAAGAAGCCATGCCACTAAAAGGAGAAAATACCTTCAAAAAGAACAAAAGCAACACGGCTGCCCTCAGGCCTTGGAAGGCTTCGATCTGAGATCCGACGATGGGCGTCTCTGCAGATCCGTAGTTATCAACCTCGGCTCAGTGCTGTAGGGTTTGGGGTTTGGGCTCAGGGACTTTAGGCGTCGGGGCATGGGGATCTGGCTGCTATTGGCAGTCCCTGAAAGAAGGAGCGCGCCAATATCATAGACCCTTTTAAACCCTAAACGCTGAGAGGGGCCGAGAAGTGGTAGACGCCGGTACCGAAGTCTGCGAACTCCACACCGAGCACCAGGGCGAGCAAGCAGCAAACGGAGGCCTCCGAACGCTTCGGATTTGGGCTTCAGAGTTGTTAGGGTATTTTTTAAAGCTTGAGTGCTCTTGGGCTTTAAGGGTCTACAGTAGGGCCGTTTTAAAGGGGCCCCAAGTTTCCAAGACCATCATCGATCGCCATGTCACGGGGTTCGGTGCTTGGTGTTCGGGCTCTGGGCCCTTGGTCAACGAAAGCCGAGGCAACGAGCGAAGAGAAAGCTTCGGCTTGTTCTTTGAAGCCGGGGGTTGGCTGAAGACTGCAGGGTGAGCGTCCACATGAAGCGTGGTCTAGGACTCTAGGAATTCCCAAAGCTTCCCCCTCAACCCTAAACCCGACACAGCCCAAACCCTAACCTTAAAGCCTCAATATCTCCCACTTCCCACGCCCCTTGAGGTCAAATCCTCAAGAAACCCCCAGGCCCACACAGAGCTCCTCCTCATTCTCAAGCCACTAGGTTAACACTCTTGTTCCTCAAAACCACAGCACAAACTTGAGGGGTTGTGCTATACTCAGAAGGCGAGCCAGAAGAAGATCCAAACAAGAAAGACCAGCAACGGTACGCCGGTACGCATGATCTTAACAGGTGGCTGGTGTTCTCCTCAATGCCCCAGTTGCCCAAATCATGTCCACTTTACGTATGACTCACTTTGAAGTACGTACAGCAACACACAAAGAAACGAAGGGACCCAAAAAAAAATCAAAGGAACCCGCCTGCCAGCTCAGGGGGCCTAACAGCGAAGCCACGCGCAGCAGGCCCGCGGACAGGAGCACCTGGGTCACTGCCTAGAATGGTTCCAAAATATGCTTCGATTGGCTTGCTGCTGCCAACTTCTCAAATTCACAAATTTCCTTTTTGGCAGGTTCGATGCGCACTTTCGGCCTGCTCCTATTTTTAGGTTTCGAACTTCTCTTCGACTAGCTAGATCCTCGTTGCCGAATCCGCCTTTGGTCAAATTCTCTCAAAACTTCGAGCAGCTGCCTCATTTTACTCGAGCGGTTTGTTCCGTCCTGTTTCTCAACTTTGCTGACTTCTAACCCTCGTTCGACCGTTTCCTCCCTGTTTCTCGAACCCTCCTCCTTGTCAAACTTTCGAGTGTCTTTCGATGAATTGCTCCTGTGTCTCAAATTTCTGATCCCTTCGACTGGCTTACCCCTCCCTCTCAAATTCTCCTCTCGATTTTGAGAACGAGGAGCAAACCGCTTGACAAAACTTGAGAAATCCGAGCAAACCGCTGGAACGAGACCAGAGCACTTAGATCAAAGGAGAGTTTGAGAACGAGGACGGCCAGAGCCGAATGGTCTCGTTCTCAATCTCCCCTTTTGTCAAAACCTCTCGTCTCTTTCGAGCATTTTGCCTCCCTCGCTCTCTCACATCCTTTGCGCCAAAATGGTCTAGTCCTTTTTGCCTTCTTTGGTCCTCTTTTTTCTGTGAGGCTTTGCTCCTGTTTCTCAATTTTTCTGGTGACATTCGACTTGCTTGCTGCTGTTTGTCACACTCTATAGTTTCCTTCATGTGGTTTACTCCTGTTTCTCAAATTTCTAGTACCATTCGATTGGTTTGCTCTTCGTCGCATTCTCTCATCTCTTTCGAACGGCTTGTTTTCAATGGGTTCAGCTTCATTCTGCAGGTACAATAACGTTCTGTCGCTGCCTCCCCCGCATCAGCAACCCCTTGCACCAGTGCCTACCTGCTAACGCACTAGAGGCTGCAACTTGAAAAGCACACCACAGGACTGCTGATGGCCGATATCCTGGTGCATTAACGTATGTACGAAAAACTGATGACGTGCAGCAAACTCTCTATCATTGAATGTTTCAGGTTTTATTTTTCTGCAGGTGCAAGTATGGCTTGAAACCAGGGCCGGCACCATCATGACGGCGACCACCAGGCGCTGGGGGTCCGAAGCAGACAGCACGTCTCCGTCTACTAGGGGCTTGAAGTATGCGCCGTCTGCCTTCGCCAAAAATCTTTGGGCGAACCAAGGCCACCATTCCGGAGAAGGTGATGGATTTGGGGTAGTGGGATTTTGCTTGCTTCATCTACGCTTCGGGACGAACTCTGGGCGACGAGTACGGCTTCGATACCTCCTGAACTAGTTGTACTTGCGAACAGGCCAGTCTTCTTTCTGCTGCCCTGCCTGAAGGGCCTGCGGAAGTTTGACTCCGTCCCTCATTCCGGTCATTTGGCTTTTGTGGTGATGTGAGTCTTTCTGAGCAAGACGCAAGATGAAAACGCCGCTCCATCACAGATACAGCCTCAGAGCCACAATGCGGATTCATGATTCTCTTTGGCCTACTTAGGGGAACAATGTTTCGGGAGCTTCCCTGTTTCTGAGGACGTCGGATTAGAACTTAGGACTCAGGGCTTCGAGTGCACGTCGCCTCGTCACGCGCTATCTGCCGCGGAGAGATGCGCCGGGTCAGCAACACGGATGTACGTGAGCACCTCGCATCGTCTTGGCCAGGAGGCAAAGTGCTTGCTGAATGCTAAAAATGGAACACAGACGCAATCGCGATGAGATAAAGACATCTCAAACAACTGGAGCAGCCATCTCCCGCTGCTGCTGATACTGCTGAGAGCACGCCTGCTGCTGTAGTACTAGTAGTACTTCTTGTGACCTATTCGACCTATTCGTAATCTTACTCTTATTGCGCTAATCCTCTGGTTATCGTTGACTGCTTTAGTGGCAAGCCCTCGACCGACGTCCGAGCCGTTGTCCTGCCTCCCCGAACGCCTCCACGTCGATAGTGAAAGGCCTGAAACCACTGCAGTTTTGTAAATTTTAGCGTTCTAGGCCTTAGGGCTCTAAATTCTCACCCCCCGAAACCTCGACTTCCATGGTGGACGAGGGGCGAAAAAAAAACCGATTGCCAGGGCAGGTTTCAGGGGCACTTCGGGCTTGTCGTAGGTATGCCTCCACAAAGTCAAAAAAAAAGTCACCCTGGGCATTGCTTGTGCACCCCCCTGGCCTGCACCCTGAGCCCTAAACGGCCTAAACTCCTCACCCCCAATGGCAGCCTGCAGCTACACTGGATAGTAGCACCACCTCCTGGCCGGAGACGGTCTGCGAGAGTTGGGTTTTGGATTTAGGGGCCTAGGCTGAAGTTCTGAAGATGGCGGACAGTGTTCTGATACTGCTGGTACGTTTGCTGATAATGGTGTGGCACATTTTGTAATGAGGAGGATGCTTTACTCTTCTCCTTCAGATAGTTCGCACCGTCGTCTATTGCCTGCCGTCTCCTGTATTCTCTGTGTTGTCATCTGGATCATTGCTCTCAGCATTATCGCGTTTACATTAGCTTGAGAGTCTACAGAAAGGTTTGCTTGTCTCGCTTCTTAGTCAACCTCAACATGTCTAGAGCCACCTGGAAGGGGCCAGGGCTCATATTCATATACCTTCGACTCGGGGTCCTCAAACCCTACATCCAGCAGGCACTATACCCCCCCAAAGTTCGATCCCAATAGCCCGCATCCCTAAACCCTAACTTCCCAAAACCCCGATCCCCAAATCAAAGCTCTCCTGTCCTTCTCGGAGACCCGGGAGCGCACAGAAGCATGCGCAGGCCCCTGTCGGGCCGGCGCGACGGCCTGGAGGCTCCAGGCTTGGTAAACGGGGCACATGGAGATTTCTATGAGTTGATGGAAACTACAAGGGCTCCGTAGGGGTTCTCGGATTCTAGACGGGATGATAAGGGTCTCTACTTTTCCTGGAGTTCTTCAGTCAGAGTGGAATCTATAAACAGGATCATCGATCCATGGAAATCTTAATCAGGCCGCCGTGCCTTTGGGAACCCCCTGCCAGCAACTACAGCACCATGATGTGCGCATGCCTTGTAGCCCTAAACCCGAAACCATGGAACCCAGTTGCAGGCCTGAACCCGCCCAGCCGCCGACGGAAGCACAGCTGCCATGGCAGGACAACTTTCTGGGCTTCGCGGGCGGAAGCCTCAACTGGGACCCTCCGATACTTCTTGTTCGGGTTGGGTGGAGGGAAGAGGTGAGGCTTCGACCGTCGGTTGTTCGACAGGGTTCGCGTTCCCGGCACTGTGGAGCTTGGGGTATTCAAAGCACAGGATCTTACAGCACTGAGCCTGTGGAGAAGTCTACTCGGAAGCACCTGCTTCGCTTTAGAGCACACTGGATGTCCTTCAAGGTGGGTTTCAACTCTGACACTTCATGGTTTCCTGGTTCTTCCTTGTCGCAGTCGATGCGGTCATTGGAGAGGCTCGGATGCTTCCGGCACTGAGATGCAGCAGCTAGCCGGCACCAAGCAATTTTCTGGAAGGCAACGGAAGGTAGCAGAGTGGACAGCTCGCAATGAAGGCGCTCTGAGAAAACTCCAATTCTCTGCTCCTCTGCATCAACATCGACCTGTCGTTCTTGCAACACAAGCCAGCATGTAATTCTAGCGGGCTCATGGGCACTGCTTCGGCGCGAATGCAAAGGTTCCCCAGCTAAACCTCAGAAACGAGGGCACCATTTCTGCTACTACTCCGCTCAGACTCAAACAGTTCAAACGAAAAAAACTACTGGGGTACCTGCGGTATGCTATCAATCAAGCATGATCAAGCCCTTTTCGGCCTGAGGGATTGAGTGTGGAGATGCGTCCGCCAGGGGCCCACATGAATGCCAAGGACTACGCCCTTACCAGCACCCGTGGCGGAAGAATTACAGGATTGCGTACATATGCGGAGGAATACATCATGGGGCGGTATGCACCGCGAAAGGATGGCTCCACCTCAAGCGCAGCCAATGAGTCGTGAGACAATGTCTCACGACTCATTCGCTGCGCTTGAGGTGGAGCAGCTCGAGCTTGGACATACACCACCGGCCGGACGATGTAGACCGTGACGGGAGGGGCTCCTCGCTGGAGTGCCTTCACGTGCACTGCTGGGAATGCTGGGCAACGGCTCCGGTCGAGAATCGATGCAGCGGTGCTTGCGACCATCATTGCCGGCTTTGGGATCGTCTTGATGTGGCCGCCTGGAGAAGGGGTTGCATCGGTGATTATGTGGCTTCATAGGTCGAATGCAGGGTTTATTGATTGGGGCGCAGGCTAGTCTAGAGGGCTTCAGTGGGCTCGGGGCTCAGCTTGTGCGAGTTGGAACTTGCCAGCCTGCCACACTGCGAGCGGTTGCACAAGTCTGGAAAGCTCACGTCCTGGGCCGTGGCCGACGACATAGGAGTAGAAAGCCGCCGTTGTGTGCTGTGTATGCTCGGAGCTGAAGGCGGCTGGCGCGACGGTCGTGGCTGGGGCGGCCTTGCGCACCTTGGGCACCCCGAGAACGAGGAGACACAGTTCCTGTGTCTCCTCGTTCTCGGGGTGCCAGAGCTGGTTTTCCTTGCCACCAACGTAAAACTCCGGACACAAGTCCAAGACCATGGTTCGTCAAGGGTCTACGGAGTCTGAATGTCAAACCCTACACCGTGAAGCTACAAGCCTATTGCCGACCTTGCATGGGTTCAGACACAGGCCGTGTGTGCTCTCCCTGGAATTTGCACCGTGACCTGATGGCTCCAGATGGCTCACGTTTTGAGCCAACTTCGGGACGAGACACCGTCATGAACAGCAATGTGACATCACTGCATCTCAACAAATCTTCTTTGATGCATGCTTTTCCTGGTTCTAGTGACACTCCTTCTCCTGCTCCCACTTCTACAGCACCACCGCCACCGTAACGAGGTGCCGAAGCTTGGAGAGGGTCAAGGGCTTGCGAGTTAAGGCTCGTGGTTCAAGGCCAAGGACATGGACTTCCAGAAGCTTGGACCGCGGGGGTTCAGGACCGGGGGTCAGGGCCTGGACCCTCATTTACAAACCCATACCCTCAGCTTCGTTGCTACTCCTGTTGTTACTGCTCTCCGCGCCCAAAACTCACAACATCGACCAGTCTTTTTTGCAGCACAAGCCAGCATGTGATTCGAGCGGGCTCATAGGCACCGCTTCGGCACGAATGCAAAGGTTCCCCAGTTAAACCTCAGACACGAGGGCACCATTTCTGCTACTACCCTGCTCAGAGACTACTGGGGTACCTACGGTATGCTATCAATCAAGCATGATCAAGCCCTTTTCGGCTTGAGGGGCTGAGTGTGGAGATGCTTCCGCCAGGGGCCCACATGAATGCCAAGGACTACGCCCTTACCAGCACACGTGGCGGAAGAATTACCCGATTGCGTACATACGCAGAGGGATATACCATGGGGCGGTATGCTCCCAGAAAAGATTTCTCGCGACTGATTGGTTGCGTTTGATGTGGAGCTGCAAGCACATTCACCGCGGGCCGGACGACGTAGACCGTGACGGGAGGGGCTCCTCGCTGGAGTGCCTTCACGTGCACTGCTGGTTGTTGGGTTGGGTATGTTGGGTGCGGGAATGCTGCGCAACGGCTCCGGTCGAGAATCGATGCAGCGGTGCTTGCGACCATCATTGCCGGCTTTGGGATCGTCTTGATGTGGCCGCCTGGAGAAGGGGTTGCATCGGTGATTATGTGGCTTCATAGGTCGTTGCAGGGTTCTTTGTGGCTACGATTCCAGAATGCAGGGTTTATTGATTGGGGCGCAGGCTAGTCTAGAGGGCTTCAGTGTCGTAGGGATAAGGGCTCGGGGCTCAGCTTACGTGAGTTGGAACTTGCCAGCCTGCCACACTGCGAGCGGTTGCATAAGTCCTGGAGAGCTCACGTCCTGGGCCCTGGCCGACGACATAGGAGTAGAAAGCCGCCGTTGTGCGCTGTGTGCGCTGGGAGCTGAAGGCGGCTGGCGCGACGGTCGTGGCTGGGGCGGCCTTGGGCACTTTGGGCACCTCGACCGGACCGCGCTTTGGTGGGTCCTTCGGGGCCAGCCAGCGCCGGAACTGTGTTTCCTCGTTGTCGGGGTGCCAGAGCTGGTTTTCCTTGCCACCAACGTAAAACTCCGGACACACGTCCAAGACCATGATTCGTCAAGGGCTACGCAGTCTGAATGTCAAACCGTACACCGTGAAGCTACAAGTCCAATGCCGACCTTGCATGGGTTCAGACAGAGGCCGTGTGTGCTCTCCCCGGAATTTGCACCGTGACCTGATGGCTCCAGATGGCTCACGTTTTGAGCCAACTTCGGGACGAGACGCCGTCATGAACAGCAATGCGACATCACTGCATCTCAACAAATCTTCTTTGATGCATGCTTTTCCTGGTTCTAGTGACACTCCTTCTCCTGCACCTACTTCTACAGCACCACCGCCACCGTAACGAGGTGCCGAAGCTTGGAGAGAGTCGAACCCTCGGTCAACGGCTCTTGTCTTTATGGGACGTGCGATGGCGATGCCATGGCGGGAGCAGCAAGAGTGCCAACCGGCTTGCTCGGCATCTCCTGGCGTCGATCACCCTTAAAGAACGAGGCTTTCTGCTGAAGTGTGAGAAGCCCAAACAAATCTTGAAAGGTAGAGGGCATGAATCCATACGGCCATTACTTTCCACTCCCTGTGCCAGGGCGGCAAACGGGACGGTCGCTCTTCGACTGGCCAGTACCAGAAAAGGCCCTCACCAGCCGATTTCCATACTTGTGCGTGCATGGCTTAAGATGGAGCTTCATAAAACACATGCTGAACGTGCCAAGCTTTCTGTGCAACATAAGGGCTTGAGGTTGCGAGCCACCTGCTCGTTCACTCAAGCCAGGCACGGATCATGAAGGAAACCGCCGCCATACTGTCATCGGCACCTTTGTCCTGCAGCTTCTCGCTGCGCAACCAATCAACCCATGATGCCGTACCATGACCACTTATTCCAAGCCGAAAACTTGTGGCAAAATATTTTCAGCCTAACTAGCAGTCAGAACCAGAAACAAGAGTGCCAGGAACACCGTCGCGAAGCGTCTCCAACCAAACCCGCGAAGGTCCCAGGCCCTGACAACATGGTGCTTTCGGGGCGCTGAGTGCACAGCATGCAGCGTCCGCGACATGAAAGAACTGCAAAAATGCCCAGAACCGTGACCCTTCACCTCAACCCCTGCACTACAAGACCTCACTCAAAGCTAAACTCTGTGTATTCAATGCTGGTTTGAGGGCTTAGGCTTCTGGCCTCTGGGGGAGTCGGATTCTGAGCCCCAATGATCCTCGTGCTCTGGCCGCTAGGCCTCGTCCATGTCGGTGAAAACGTGATTGAGCAGCACCACGGACTCCTCTCGGATTTGTGCTGTCCGCCGGGAGATGTGCCGGGTGAACACAAGCGATGCTAGGCTACGATGGTGCCACAGCAATCACATCGCAACAAATTACCTTGCTGATGCAAGGAAACAGCTTGGTTCTATTGCGACTACTGTTAGTCGTCATCGTCGTGGCGGTCGTCGTGGCGGCCGTCGTCGTGGTCGTCGTCGTCGTGGTGGTCGTCGTGGTGGTCGTCGTGGTGGTCGTCGCCGTGGTACTCGTGGCGGTCGTCGTGGT